TATTAATTTAATAATTCAAGAATAATTTTTAGGTTAACCATATGGGCTAACGTCTAGAGATATGCTTAGGAGAAAAACATCCATGATACTAGTCCTCCTGGAAAGTGTATCTTCCTAGGAGTGACAGATGACAAACATGCAAAAGAATGAAAGTCAAGATAAGTAGAAAAGCAGATACATGCATGAAGGGTGATGCACTGTAGACAAAATAAAGTGTTCGAAATTTGGGAATGTTGAAGTTACCCTGCTGACTGAGAAATAGATTTCCTCATCTTTCTGAGAAGAACATTATGCCAACTAAAGTGTAATACTTTCCCAAAGGTAACCTAGACTACTCTTTGTGCCTCATACATCTTTGGCACATAAATTATGTGTGTTATGGTGGGGAGTCATTCTTGCCCATGAAATCAAGACCTGGGGCCTGGTCTTGGGCTCACAATATCATTGTCCATAGATAGCTTTAGAAAAAATATTAATTTAGCAAAAAATCAGTTGACTTCTTGCCATTTGCATTGGCTTTACAAAGTTTACCCACACTGTGTCCTGTCTTTCTAGGGGAATGTATCACCATTTATCCCCCTCTCCTTTTTGGTTGAAAGAAAAAAAATTGTTTTATCTACCACTTTTTTCATCAGTAAGCATTAATCGTACATATTTATTCTATTTAGAACATGGCTTTGGACAAAGTACGGACATAGAAGAAGAGTATCAGAATTCTTTGGTAAAGGTAATATATACATATAGGATGATAGTTTATTAAAAAAAAACTTTTGCGTTTGGAAGTGCACTAATATAGACTAACAGAATGTACAGTGAGTTCCTGAGCATTAAATTGTAGATTAGCAGATTGATCAGAGTTAGATGGTTACAGAATGTACTGGCTGCCACAAATATATTCTGCCATAAAAACCAATTAAAAAAACCAGGTATGAAATATCAATTGCTCATAAGACTTGATTCTAATCAGAACGTTGCTTTTATTCTTGATTTATTGCCTACTCTGTTTTCATTTTGGATCTGGAAATGTGAGCATTGTTCATTTAGGTGACAGATTCGCAACAGGCAAGTGAAAAACATCATGAGAGATAAAAAGAGCTTGAGCAGGAGGCTAGCATTTTAGAAATAAAATGTTTATCACAGAAGAGTCAATGCACCTTTTCAGCTCACCCCCTGAATGACTAATTTCAGCGTGTTAAGGTTAGAAGACACTTATTCTTGCTTTACTTTCCCTTTCCCTTGCAGAAGTGCAAGTAATAGCAGAGGGTTGGTTAGCCCCTTCTGCTGCATTGGGCCAGTGTCCTGGTTGAGTGAGAGTGGAGGGCACTCATGAAACACTCTAAGGCTGTGGTTCTACGCACTCATTCAGTATGTATTGTTCCTCTGTTATAAGTGAGTACTCTGTTAGGGTATCACACAGGCTACAAAATGTGTAAGACTTCCTTAGTTCTCAAAGAGGTTAAAATTAAGTGGCAGAGCATGATTGCCCCCTACTCTATAGGACAGAATGAAGGTCTTCCCATGGCCCCACAGGGTCTGGTCTCTATCTGCTGTGCAGCCTCCTCACCCTCTACAGTCCTCTGTGCTCTAGCCAGGGTCCTTCTTACTCACCTCTGCTCTCTGGTTGGAAAATTCTGTATCCAATTAACATCTGCGCATTCTTCAGTCAAAGATCACTTGTCACTTTATTGGAAAGATTGTCTTTTATTTCACCCCACAATTTCAAAGCTTCATTCACAAACTTTTGGTACAGTGTGCCGCTCCTTCATTGCACTTATTGCTGTTGCAATTTTACATCGAGTTGAGAGGTTTATTTGGTTAATTCCTGTCTCTCAGACTAGATCATGTGCATCATATGAAGGCAGGGACCATATCTCTTTTTTCCATTATTCTATCCAGCACAAAGTATGGACTAGGTCCATAGATTCTTTAAAAGTTCGTTGAATAGATGTATATATATGTAGGAATGTATGAGTGAATAATTAATTGATTGAATGAAGAATGAGAAAAACACAAATAAAATGCCATTATAATTTAGGCAAAGAAGGAAGGAAGGAAAATAACATTTATCATTCACCTGCAGTATGCCCTGTGTTTAACACTTGAGGGATCGAAAAAGATTTCAGGGAGGAGACAGTATTTGAGTTGGATCTTAAAGAATGTTTGGAGACCAGGCACAGTGGCTCATGCCTGTAATCCTAGCACTTTGGGAGGCGGAAGCAGGAGGAATGCTTGAGGTCAGGAGTTTGAGATCAGCTTGAGCAAGAGCTAGACTCCATCTCTACAAAAGATAGAAAAATTGGCTGGGCATAGTGGCATGGGCCTGCAGTCCCAGCTACTTGGCAGGCTGAGGCAGGAGAATCGCTTGAGTCCAGGAGTTTGAGGTTGTAGTGAGTTATGATGATGTCACTGTACTCTAATTGGGCTGACAGAGTGAGACTCTGTCTCAAAAAAAAAAAATCAAAAAAAATAATATAAAAGGAATGTTTGGGTTTGGCTATGTATAGATTAGGGAGGAAGGTATAGTTCAAGCAAAGGTACAGAAGTAAGATATTTTGGAATGTGTATAAAGAACAATAACCATTAATTTAGACTCATGTATTTTTGCAGCTTTCAGCATATATGGTTTTCTCCTAAAGGTAAGACAGTCTTTATATAAAGAGAGAACTTACACAAATGTAAATAGGCTTTCTTTGAATGCAGTGTCATTTATGTTTGATGTATGAGACATATACATGCATACACACAAACGTATACACATCTTTTCTTTTTATATCATCATTTAGCAGTTTATGCAGTTTATTTGTAACCCACACTGATCAATTCCTCACCTTCATTCCCCTTGGAATTTGTGTAGTTTGAATAACATGAGATGCACTAGAGTCTACTTAATAAAGCCCTAACTTTGATATCCCACATTGCTAAGTTAAAGTCTAGGTGAATATGTTATAGACGTGAACTGCGGACAAGCACATCTTTCTGAATTTCAATTTTTTCACCTATAAAACAGGCAGATAAATATCTCTTGCAAAGGTTTATAAGAGTCAAAAATCACTTTGTCAATGATATGTACCTACCTTATACACGCATATGCTTGGAAAAAAAACTATGAGATTATATTCTAGAAGGTGAACTAGTACACTGATGAGATACACAATTTTTCTTTTTTACGATCTTTTGTATTATCTGAATTTTCTTTAATGAACATAAATTGCTTTCAAAATAAAAAGTTGTAATTGAAATAATCCTTTGTAAGTGCTAGAGCTTTACAAATTGCCACACAATTCAACTGTACATTTTTGCTGTTATTGCTCATATTCTCTAGTTGTTTGATGTGCATATTATTGCCTGGCCCCCACCCTAAGCCCAAATCTGGCTTGCAAGCTCCTCAATAGAAATATTCTCTGCTCCTACTTTGTTTTTTTTTTTTTTAATAGAATATCTGGCCTACTATTGTGCCAACAGCAGGCACATAATGAACGCTTGTTGAAATGAATAGGTGTTATATAAAAATCTCTTTGCAAAAACCATTGGGAAAAGCAGCTGCAGGGGCAGCCCACAACATTCAGGTGGATGTCTTGGCTATCAGGCCTGTTCAGGGGCAGCTGGGCAACTTCTCAGGGTGGTTGTCAGGACAGTGCAGCTGAAGGCTTGGGAAATGTAACAGTTTCTAACTGACTCTGTTATTTGTGAACTGTTGGGTCATTTGTTGCTTGTTTTCTAATACATAATTGTATTAGTTTCCTATTGCTGCTGTAACAAATTACCACAACCCTTGTGGCTTAAAACAACACAAACTTATTATCTTATAGTTCTGGAGGCCAGAAGTCTAAATGCTTGGCAGGGCTGGGATCCTTCAGGAGGCTCTAGGGGAGAATCCATTTCCTTGTCTTTTCTAGCTTCTAGAGGCTGCCCGCATTCCTTGGCTCATGGCCCTGCATAACTCTGACCTCTGCTTCTGTCAGTACATCTCCTTCCTCTGCCCTTGATTTTCCTGACTCCTTTTTGTAAAAAAAGAAAAAATTATAAGGACCCTTGTGATTACATTGAGTACACCAGGATAGTCCAGATAATGTCCCCATTGTAAAAGCCTTGATCACATCTGCAAAGTCTCTTCTGCCATGTGAGGTAACACATTCACAGGTCCCAGGGGTTAGGATGTGAATGTCTTTGTGGGGGAGGCATTATTCTGCCTACCACAATAACTTACTCATCACCACCACCCCTGTGCTTTCACATTTATTTACAGAAATAAGACACAACTGGGAAAGCATTTGTCTTTCTTGCACTCATCTGCTACCTTTTGTTCAGAACCACACAAACCTGTAGCCTGGCTTATACGATTGTAATTGCCTGAAATTTTTTTTTATTTCCAGAGAAAAGACTGTTAGGACATCATTTCCCCTATTATTGGTATATTATCCAGTGATCGTTTACTTACCTCTTTCTGTTTCTTGCCCCGGAGAGCCACGTGGCTGATGCTGCTGCTCTCTCGGAGGGAGTCCACGCTGTCTCCATAGAGCAGCTTGATGGCCCTGACCAGCCGGGCACAGGAACGGCTGTGGTGCAAGTAGCAGTGGGGGTGGCAGTAGTCAATGTGAGTGCAGATGAAACTTTGCTGATTGCACAGCAAGATCATGACCTGGAATACAAACACCCTGAGACTCGACCAGGCAACCAGGGTACAGGCAAACTGAACATTTCTGTGGGGCGGAAAATGGAAAGTGAGAATGTCAACTTCCCTTGATGGGACTTGAAAACACAGGGATGCAATAATTCCCACAGGAGAACAAAGAGTTACAAGCCTTTGTCCACTTGGCCTTTTGTTCTCCCTCGATTCATATTTGATGGAAGGATCTCTTTGAAACAATAAAAAGTTAACAGATCTTCGAAAACTTAAAACAATTATTGTGGAGTGTATGGTTTCCAAACATTTTCAAATGGAGATTCTGAACTTAAAAACATATATATATATATTTTTTTCCAGCTAAATATTCATGTCAACAAATTAAGGAAAGAAAAGCAAATTAAACTCAAAAAAGTAGGAGGAATTAATAAAGACAATAGCAGAAATTAATGGAACAAAAATTGAACATTTCAAAAATGACAAAACCAAAATCTGGTTCTTTGAAAAGATAAATAAAATTGACAAACTCCTAGCAAGACTGATTAAAAAAAAAAAAGAAGAAGACAACCTACCAATATCAGAATTGATAAAGGCACATGAGTGTAAACCCTAAAGAATTTAAAATAATCTTAAGAGAATATTATAAATAATCTTTGTTAATATATGTGAATATTCAGATTAAAGGAAAAAATTCCTAGGAAAAAATACCAATTTACCTAAACTACTCCTGGAAGAAGTAGAAAATCTGAGTGGTCTTGACTGCATTACATAAATTGAATCTATAATTTAAAATCCTCCTACAAAGAAATTTTTAGGTCTAAAAATATTCACCAGTGATTTCTTCCAAATATTTAAAGAAGAAATAACGCTGCTCTTACATAAACACTTCTGGAGTGTTTATGTGCGGAACACTACACAGAAATCTAAAAATTATTATTGAGGGAAATGTAAGAGGCTCTAAATAAATGGAGGGACATAAATGGAGTGATAGATAATTGTAGACATTGGAAGACACAATATCATAAATATTTTAACTTCTCAATTTTAATTCACCTATATATTAAATGCAAGGCTGATTCGAAAGTTTTTCCTAATGGAAACTGACAAGGTGATTCTAATGAAAATGAATCCAGCCAAGAACAGAACAGGCCATCCTGAAGAAGAAGAAAAACAAAGTTGGAGGGCTTAACATTTATATGAGCAAAAGGAACCAGACACAACAGAGTAGATAGAATATAATACCGATTCCATGCATTTCATAAACAGACAAAACTGATGTATGGTGTTAGAGGGTGGAATGGTGGTTATTGTAGGGGAGAGTAGTGACTACAGAGGACCTGTGTATGGTTTCTAAAGTGTTGATAATGTTTTCCCTAATCTGGCAAGGGTTACACAGGTGTGTTTATTTTGTAAAAATTCACTGAGCTGTACTCACAGGTTTGGTATGTTTTTCAATGTATAGGTTAGACTTCACTAAAAAGGTTACTTTAAAAACAGCTGCCTCAGAGATTCTTAAAATCAGGCAATTCTGGTGACTACTTCCATATTGAAGGCGCAGCACTGTATGCTCTGAGGAGCACAATGCACCAGCTAGCCCTTACCTAACCCTGCCAGGAAGTTAGATTAAGGTCAGGGTGAATGGTAAAAGCACGTATCTATGACCAATAATGGCGCTGGAGCACGCTGCCAATTGAATATCTCAGATTATGTATGCTTCCTTACCTTTCTCCTTACTTCTTTCTTCACATCCAGTTCAAATCTTGAACTCCAATGTATGCTCAAAGTTTCCTTGGGATCCCTTCCTGCCTATGCCCTTTGGATAGCCCTTTGAGGTGTGATCTTCATCATCTTAGAATATCCTTGTCCTAATTTACAATTTGATCCAATATATATCCAAGACTGACACCATGATCTTGCTCTCAGCACTCTTGGTAACCTGTATAAAACTGATGGTGATATTCCGACTGTGTCACTCAGGTTATCTTGACCACCAACTCGGCCTGACCCCTCATGGTTTTCCCCGGCTTATGGTGACCCATAACCCAGCCATAACAGAAGGCCTTTGTCATAGTTAAGCTTAAAATGAATACAATCCAGCATAACACGAATCCTAAAGAGTGTTGAGAGATTCAGCTAAAATACAAGCCTCTGCTTTCTCTTGAAGGCAAAATTGGATTGATGGTTTAGTGTAATCTTTTGTCCTCCCTTTGTGGAACTTTCCTAATGCCAAAAGAAATTGATCTCAGGGCTCTTTCTGAGATTCCTACTTACATGAAGCCACGACATGTTTCTGTGGTAATTTTCCTCCGTGCCGGCATTACTCATTCCTTCTGGCTCAATGCTGGGCTCACTTGCACTCCAAGGACTCCCTTCTTCAAAAGAAAAATAACATGCAAGGTTTCAATGTTTGGTCTCCCTTGAGAGCATACTGGTATGGTATAGTTGTCCATGCTTTTGAATCCTAGGGCAGACTACCATGACCCAGTAGATTACAGGGCATAGCACTGACTTTGTTGGTGGAGTATTAATAGGAGCTGTTCCCTTCACCACCAGCTGAACTGGCAATTTCAAAGACATTTATGATCTCTGTTATGGTGGCTTCCATTTTGAGAGATGGGAGCAGAGAAAAAAAAGAAAAACAGAGTCAAGTCCTTGAATTGCTGAAATGAGCCAGTTATTGGTTAAGTGTGCCCAAATCCATTCCAGACTGACCAGACCTCGCAGGTGTACTTAAGTAGGGACCCCAACCCATCTGCAGTGGCCTCTCAGTGCGCTGCTGCCTCCACTGTTGCTGTGACTGCAGCTACTGCTATTGTTCCAGCAACTAGACTTTTCTATCAGAGCTATTTCAAAGATGGGTAGGTGCCTCAGAAAAACTAAGGGAATTTGGAAGCAATTATGTCCAGTTGTGGACAACTGTTGTGTCCAAACTCCTTTCTCTGGGAAAGTATGAAGGAGACATCTCTCAGCAACTCACTACTTACACTATACAACATGGTTTTCCCTTGAATCTAAAAGCTTTTATGGGTCTTTTTAATGACAAAACAATGTCTCTAGGATGGCTATTTTGACTCAGCTGGTCAGGATAATTTGATCAATTCAAATAATTAACTACAATACTTTCCCCCCCAAACTAACTGATGATAATGTTATAGCTTCAGACCTGTAGCAAAAGATGTCACAGGATTTTTTAAATTGTCTCCTTAAAAAATAAGCTGAATCTTAAGTAATGCATAAATTAGCTATTTTCAAAGGCGAGGGTGGGTGGACGTAGAAACATTTCTTATTTTAAACTTTCTTTGATTCAATGTACTCAGCTTCTATTTCAGCAGACTCGATCGATAATTTATCCACATTTGTTACTGATTTTTGAAACTACTTACCTAGAAAGGAGAGCTTTCTATTTTGCTTTTCATATAGAGATTGGATAGCAAAGGGAATGTGCTTCAACTTTTACCTAATAGTTAATGCTAGGCAGCTGGTGAGCTCTACCTGCATGCCTACTTAATCTTTTTCTTGTCCATTAAGATGCTAATCAGGGCCAATATTTTGGACTAACATATTTTGGGATTTGGAGTCTCCTTGGATCCTATAGTGACAATCTACAACTCTAATGCTTTCATTATACATAAAGTTCATTCTTCGGTGCTTAACGCATTTTATAACCATCTCCTAATTTATCTTTAGAGCATTCCCACAGAGTAGGCAAGAAGTAAATTATTCCCATGGGATAGTTAGAGAAAACAAATCCCTGAGAAGTGAAATGAAAATCGCTAATTGTCAGATCAAGACAATCTTTCCTCTCTGACATTTTGGTTGTTTTTACTGTTAAATAGAGACTTTAAAATATAGAGAGCCGACTCCAAGGGAATTTCTACGTTTGACTTAGAAGGTCCTGATCAGAAGATATGGATTTCAAAAAACTATCTCTGTCTTTAAAACGTTTTCTTTCCCGAATGTATATGCTATATCCTTGCTGCTCAAAGCGTGGTCTTTGAATCAGCAGCATCAGCTTCACCCAGGAAGCTTGTTAAAAATGTAGAATATCAGATCCCCACCCCAGATCTGCTGAATCGGAATCTGCATTTTAACAGGACTCCCAGGTGACCCACATGCACAGTACGGCTCAAGCAGCCTTGCTCTACAGGGTGACTGGTGACTCTAGAGGGTAGTATGGTTTTCTGACTGAATGAGTTGTCTAAACTATGGCTCTGCCCTCCATCTATTTATGTGTAAGAAAGTGGATTTCAGGTTGTTTCAGGACTTGAGCCCTGTCTTCCTGCCCCCCACGTCCCTGCACACCCCACTCCTCTATGTTACCTAGGTCAGTGACAGTGTCCCTGCTCTGGGACAGCTGCAGCTCCTCAGCCTCAGACTCTGAGTCCTGCCGTGATAACTTGCTGCTCTTTAAGCTGCCGACCCGGCGGATGCTGGACAAGGAACCCCCCTTCTTCACCTGGAAACTGCGGGTTCCTTTAATCTGGAGCAGGCGAGAACCTCCTATCCTGATCTTCCTGCTGGGAACTGTATTAAAAGAATAAAATAGGGCTTTTTCCCCTTTAGTTTTCCCCAGCCAGTGTTATATTCAAGCTCTCCCCAACTTGTCCCTGATCAGCCTCCTCTCTGTTGGCCTGAATAAGCAGCACTTCTGGGTAAGAGGCTCCTCCCGAGCCCTCAGTCTTGCAGGCAGGAGGGTAGGGCCCCCAGGAAGGGCTGGTGCAGCTTCTTTCTTAGACACAAAGCTCACTGGGACTGGGAACAACCTGCTCTCTTTCTGGCCCAGGGTTCACAAGCATGAGGTGCCCTTGCAGCAGCAGCAACTAGGACTGTTAGTACATTTATATCATACGATTACTCGATTCAACAGAACCACAAACCATCTGTTTTTGTTTTTCTCTTGAAATGGGACTTACAGAATTCTGAGAGCTGTCATGTAAACCCCTTCATTTTGGAATACCTTATTAAAAAATAAAAACAAGAGGTGCTTCTCTCTCCAACAGTCAGCAGTGGGTTCCGCTCTGCTCCTCAGCAAAGGCACTAAAGGATCTGTTTTCATTGGGGTGCCTGGGTGAGCATGAGTGTGAAATGGTTCCATTTTCAATGCACCTAGTGATTTCATAGCATCCTTCTCTCAGTCAAAAGGCTGGGTGAGAGGTGAGTCGAAATGTTGCAACACCCTGAGCCAACCTTACAGTCTATGTGTACCAAGAAGAACATGCATTATTCATCTTTTGTGTTCTGGAAGAAACAGTGATCAGTAAGGAAAATAAAAGGGTAAAATAAACACGCTTAAACTTGAGACCTATTTTGTTTAAAAAATCGAAAGCATTCTTATTTCATATACATACCTCCTTCCTTTTCTTTTGAAGATTCGGTATTGTCACACATTGATTTTATAAGGATGGGATAAATAAAATTTTCAGGGCTGAAAGTCCATTATCAGGAAGGGGCCAGTTTTGTAAGCTTACCTTCTTAAGGGGTGAACACAATTTCTTACTAATTATTTAAGGCATAGTTATTATTTTTAAAAGTCCCAGTCAGAAAGTTTGCATTTGTTTCTGGTTTCCCACCCACAGGAGAATTAATTATGTGACTGTGATAAAACTTGTATAACTCTTTAAAATGTTAGTTAAATGTATACTTTTAATGCCATATACAGGAGCCCAGCAGAATTTCTGGTGAACAACGTGAATGTTTAATCTCTGATTTACTCTTGTGATTGAGAAAGACTAAAATTATCACCAGTCAGCTAATAAAGGCCTCATGGAGCTCCCTGAGCACATTAAATCGAATTTCACATCTGGATGGAATTTCTTGCAACACAGTTAGATAAATTCCACAAAGACTATGAACTATAGTGCTGTATTTTAATTATAGCACAATACCCATTGTATTTTTCAATATTATTCTTAGGCTTAGTTGGGACTTTATCATATATCTGAAATAGGTCTGAAACAAAATATAATTATCATTTTTAATGACTACTAGTGCAATTTCATGTCTAAGTATTAATAGATTGGGAAGTAGAGAAAAAGATTAGAGAGACAATTCTTGCATTTTTACACAGGCACACATTAACACTTTTTGCCTGATTTTATGACGCCTTTCAGCTTACAAATGCATCAAAATGATCTCAAATTAATGTGATCTGAAAGAAATTTAATTTTGAGAACCTGTTCTACCACCAAAGATGATTAGAGACATCCTGTAGCACTGAAAAATGAGGGTTCAGAATTACGGTATTGGTTATTTACAAGGGGCACAGCAGTTAGGATTCAGATTTGGTATTGTACATGAAAAACATCGGTTGAGATTGTACAGCACTGAATTTTAGCTTTTATTGCCATGACAACAAGAACTAGTATGCAAGTGAAACAAATTCATCTAAATTGGATAAAACATCTTTCCCCGCTTTTCTTTCACCCCGCACTGTACCCATTAGCAAGTCCTGCTGGCTCTACACTCCAATATACCAACAGGACTTTAAAAGCCCCATCCCTTCTTCCTCAGAATAATGTAGCTACCTAACTGCTCTGCCTCTCTCTGACTCCCATAGCTCAAGTCATCTTTTAAATGCATAAAAACACACATTATATCACTTTTCTGGTCAAACCTTCTAACAGCTCTCTGACACACTTAAAATAGAATTTAATTTCTAAGCGTACCTACCAGACCCTGTTTGCACCTTGCATAACATTCTGACCCATTTCCTACCATGCTTCCCCCAACTCATTCCATTGCAGCCATGTTGGTCTTTTTGCCCTTCTTCAAATGCTCCAAGTTCATTCTTGCATCAGAGCCTTGTTCTCACTGCGCTCTGTTTGGAAGATTCCTTCCCCAGCCCTTTGCATGACTGGCTCCTCCATGTCACCCAGTTCTCACTCGATGTCAACTGTGGGGGCCTTCCCTGACTCATTCCCTCCCAGTCCAGGTCACAGCTTTGACCCTGATTTGTTTTTCTTTATATCAGTTATCTCCACCTAAGAGTCTGGCATTTTATATTACTCATTAGTATGTGAATAACTATTAGTTATTAACCATTGGTTAATATAAGTTAAAATATATGTGAGAAAATTTTCCTGTTCACTGCTGTATTCTAGGAACCTGTGATAGTTCCTGGCACACAGTAGGTACTCAGTACATGGTTGTTGAATGATTAGACTAGTAGGTGTATTTTGGAATACTAGTTTTAGTTTGTATTTGGGCATATTGGTAAAATGATTTGACAGACCCTGCTTGGGGATTTTAGGCATACATTTTTAGTTTTAAGGATTATTTTACTTTAGTTTTCCCTGGTAGAATCTGAATTGTCCTCCAGTTGTTTATTTCTAAAACTTACATTTTTAGGTGTTATAAAAACAAATAATATAAAATTTTAATAATCTTAGTTAGCAGGGTCCACATCATCCCCATTTTCACATTGGCTTTAGTCACTGATATCAGTTTGTCAAGTAGATTAGGAACATTTAGGAATCTTCGGGAAGATTTTTGCCAATTGATTAAGAATATTTTAGGGATATGTTTTCATTTTTATTTACAGTTTCAGTTTTCTTTTCTTCATTTATTAAACAACTTTCATATATTAACTTAGCCATTTAATGAGGAGAAAAAATACTAAGCATTTGAGTGTTTGAATATTAAAGTCTATTTATGTAAACAATCATGAAATTAAGGTGTTTTTAAAAATTAATATTTTATTTTTTAAATGGGTATAGAATTTACTCTGCTCTACTTTAGCCATGTCAGTATTAGCAATTTTTATTTGACTACTTTAAACGATAATTAGCAAAATAACTTTGAATGGAGGAAAAAGACTGCCATCTAAATTAAAATCCCTTTGGGATTTGTTTAAAACATAGAATTTTCTCATCATATGCAGGTATCCTTGTCTGTAGTCATACTCGAAAAAATATTGATTTGATACACCTTCATACTCAGAAATTGCTTAGGACTTGGCTTATCCTTCCCATAACATTATTAGCTATTAACTATTAAAATGTTGTGATATTCTGATCTTGAAATATTCAAATTTTCCCAATGTATATCCATTCCTTACAAGATTTTAAGTATTTCGTGTTTTCTATATTCCTATATAGAAATAGTCCTCTATACAGGGCTATTCCTTCTAAGAATCATTCATTCATTAAGTTACCCAATATTTATTGAATCATTGTGTTTATATGACACTAGAAAATACTTCAATGCATAAAATCATCTTTGACTCTTTTAAAAAATGTGCTAATGTTCTTTTAATTGACATTCATTAGAAAAGCATTGAAAGACAATGGAATTTTAGAAATAGCAAATCAGATAGTGAAGCTGACAGTTTAAAGAAGACTAGAAAGCAGCTTAAAACTTTGCAATCTTTAGTTCACAGTTAGGATTTTCTATGTGGGTTCTAATCTATATGTCATGATATAAAAAATAACAATACAATAGTTATTTGTTATGTACCTACTATTCACCAGGTCGTAAGTTTATGCTTTCCTTGCATCGTCTTATTTAAAGTTTTCAGCGTTGCAATGCAATAGGTGTTATTAACCCAACTTTACAGAAAAGAAAACTATGGTTAGAAGGTCAGTAACTTGGACAAAGCCACACAGTGAGTTACTATATTGCATCCATTTTAAGATGCATAACTTTTTCAAATTTTAACATATCTGAAATAAATTGAGATTTATCATTCAGTCAATGATATCTTAGGATCATTACTGCCAGCAGCAGTTATGATACCTTTGTTATTGCTTGTGTCCATGTGAACATCTAAAGCACCAGAAGCAAGATACACAGAAGGGGAGCCAGTGTCTTTTACCCCAAGGAGCCAACTGGTAGTGAGAAGTGGGAGAGTGGGTGAGATGATAAGTCAGATGTGTTTCCTGAAGAGGGACTGAAGGTAGGCTAACTTTATACAATTTGCGAGTTGGCTTAATTAGCGCAAATAACTTTACTCCTTTTATGAATCTATTTAAGAACTGATCTATCATTAACATTTTGATGGCATAAAGGACACTATCATAAAGAAAAACCTGGAAATTGAGAACTCTTCATTGAAAAATGATTAAGAAATTTGAACTCTGAATTGAAGATGGTTTAGAAAAATTTTAACCAGTTTATTTTATTTATATATTTTTTTGATTGCACAAGAAGGCTATATAATAATAAGAAGACTAAAGATCTATTTAATTAAATCTGAAAGTCCTCTTTCAATAAGAATAAAATACAAGCTAAGTAATAAGAAATTATTGTCTAAGAGTCAAATTGGGAGTGTTTTTCCTTTCTTATAATGATGGTTCATCTTACAGTTGATAGCATCGTAGACTCAGCGGGATCTGGAGAGTTGCTGAGCTGGAATTAGAAGCCCGGCCTCTCTGACTGCAGAGTAGAACCTCTAACTAGTATGGTTTCCTATGTCACTGAGCCTACACCAGCAGTATTACCTGGAGCCAGATTTTTGGGCACAAGATTTTGTAGTTAAGATCCCAGACCAAATATCTTATGAGAAACACTGAAACATGAATTAATCCTTGTTTTTCCATACCTTTCTTCTCCTCAACACCTGCATCTGATTTGAGGGTGTGGCTGCTGCTGTGGAGAGAGTCTTTTGAGTCTTCGTTTTCATCTAAAACCCCAGCAAAGCTGATCTTCCTCTCGTATCTGTGGCGGTCCAACTCAGGATCCAGACGAAGCCTGCAGCTCTCCAAGTCCTGAAATGTCAGCGAGGAGCACGTGAGTGCCGGCATCTCCCCAGCCCCGCACTGGGCTTGTGGCAAGTCTCCCTCCACTTTGAGTTACATACAACTGCACGGAAACAGCCAAATTCCTTTATCTAACGCCAATTTTAGATTGTGGCCATTGAAACCTAATCTTGAATTAAAAAATAAATAAAATCTTCCCTAACTCATAGTTTTTTCCCTTATCCTGAGATACTTTACCTTCCAATAGCATAGACCTTGTTCCAAATCTGAAACCAGCTTCTTCACCTTCTAACTCTTTGTCCACAGCTTTGGCTGCATCTTTGGCCTTTATCAGTTTATGAAATAATCATGCATTAAGTATGAATGTGATAGGTACTGTGTGATAAATAAAAAATGATTCTTTTCCTAAAGAAACTCGGAATCCCAAAATAGAAAATGACAAGGGAAACAGGTGATAAATTCCAAGACTGAAAGCTTAGAAATCAGACTAAGCTTAGGAGCTTAGAAATCAGACTTAAAACTGTGGTTGGCAAAATAATGGCCCCACCCCAAAGGTGTCCATTCCCGGGACCTGTAAAGATGTTAGTTTACATGACAACATGGACTTTGTAGATGGGATTAAGCTTAAGGACCTTAAGATGGGGATATTATTCTGTATTAGCTAAAATAGGCCCAATCTAATTTCAGGAATCCTTAAAAGTGGAGAACCTTTGTAGCCTGTGGTCAGAGGAAGATGTGACTGTGGAAGAAGGATGAGAGAGATATGTAACTGGCTTTGAAGACAGAGGAAGGGGCCACAGTCCAAGAAATGTAAGTGGCCTATAGAAGAGGAATAAAGGGCAAGCAAACAGATGCTTCCCTAGAGCCCATAAAGAAATGTAACCTGGTCAACTCCTTGGTTTCAGCCCAGTGAGACTTGTCTTGAACTTCTGACATCCAGAACTACATGATAACATGCTTGTGCTGTTGTAAATAACTAAATCTGTGGTAGTTTGTTACAGCAGAGATAGAAAATGAATACAGAGGTGATGTTGGAGTTAAGTCTTGAGGATTAAGTAAAGTTCGCTTGGTAAATAAGTGGAGAAAGGCAATTCGGGCTTAAGAAATCTCATGTGTGAGGGCCAGAGGCTCCAAACAGAATCATGCATTGGGAGAGATTCTTACTTTCTTCTAGGAGGACCTACATATAAGAGGGGTTCCATCACTCTCTGCTGATGAACAGAATGATCCCGTCCATACAGTAATGTAAGCCTTGAGTGTATAATTATCATTTTGTCTTTTTAATTTTTTTTTCAAATTTCAGAATATTATGGGGGTACAAACATTTTGGTTACATATATTGCCTTTGCACCACCCAAGCCAGAATAATGGCCAACATACACATAAAAAATTGCTCAACATTTCTAAACATCAGAGAAATGCAAATCAAAACCACAATTACTTAACTCCAGCGAGAATGGCTTTTATCAAAAAGTCCTAATATGACAAATGTTGATGTGGATGCAGAGAGACAGGAATACTCATACACTGCTGGGACTGCAAATTAGTACAACCTCTGTGGAAAGTAATATGGAGATACCTCAAAGAACTAAAAGTAGAACTACCATTTGATCTAGCAATTCCACTACTGGGCATCCACCCAAAGCGTATATAATTATTTAGTAGAAGTTTAGCCTTTGAGGTCCTGAATTGAAAATTTGACTTGTTCTGTGAATAGGGACTTGCTCATCCTAAAGATCATATTTAATTATTAATCTATGAAGCACTTTCGGAGGACATGAAAAATTGTATAAAATGCTAACTTTATTTTTATACAGTATTTTTCTAATCCTGACATCAGATTCAAATAGATACACAAAACAAAAATATTTTTAAAAACCTAGTTTGCACCAAGATTAAGATCTTATGCTTTTGGTTGTCATCAATAAAATGAAATTTTAGACTCCACATGTTTATTCTTTTTCTTTTGGATTAAGAACAGAAGTTACACTTTGATACTCAGAAAATTAAATCACTTCTAGAAAAATACAGGAACTACATAGAATCTATTTTAACATTGTCAAAAATATTCTAGGAATGTATTCCTAGAATTATAATTGCTTCCCCGAAATTAACCCCTTTCAGGAAAAGAAAATCTAATCTACTTCCCATTGTGGTAGCCAAACTTAATTAGGGAAATTTCTTAGTTGGGGACACAAAATAATAATATAATAATTCTGATTCTCAAAAGCAGTTATCCCTTCCAATTTCTTCTTTTATCTGCTTGTTAAAATCCCACCTAATCTTTCAAAACTACATTCAAATATGACTTCTTCCAAGAAGGTTCTTTGGCTCTTTCCTGTCCCTTCTTTGGCCAACCATAGCCTTCTGCTACTTTCTCAGGGCCACTCATATTTTGCTTCAGTAAATAGTTTTTTATATGTGTTAGTTCTCCTGTTACAAATATATTCATCTCTGTATCACTCCCACCCCCACCCCTGCAACCATCACACAACCTTGCTTATACTCTACTCTCAATAAATATTCATCAGTTTAATCTTGGTATATATAAACTATGTTTTGCATATGATTTTATAACTGAATCTAGCTTCTGTGTTTTGCTTCTGATTTTATAACTGAAATCTAGCAGTATATTTTTTATAACCTGATTTTTAAAAATCTCATTGGTACAGTTGGTACAGCTTGTAGTGTAATATTTCATAAAAACATCCAATATTATGCTGTTTTCTCTAATGAATGGATGCAGACACACACAGACTTCTTTACTGCCTTCTTCTTTATTATTATGAACTCATCTCTGCATTTGATGGGAATTACTGTTTTTATTCCATGGTCATTGTTTGTTGGTCTAACTAATTCAGTTGGGAAACATTTTAATAGACCAGCAGTTTTATAAACAAAATTATATTTTAAAAAATTCCTTTATTGTTCTCAAGTTTGGAAGATAATATTTAGAGAACATTTGGTTATTATGCTGTTTTAGACTATGAATCTTACAAAAATGCTGCTTTTCCCTTTTTTTAGACATAATTTATATGTATGGTTTACAAAAAGAATGAATAAAAATGCTACCAGAAGTTGTTTCTTTGGGGAAAATAAAGCACATTAATTAAGTTACATCTAGAGTTCTATCTGGGAAAAATTGTTTAGTTGGTAAAAACATATTTTTAAAAACATTTTAATAGTTTTGACATAATTTTTCCTTTTCATTTATCTCCATTCTCCACCAACTCAGTGGCTTCCTGAGTTTTCCTGACTCTAGCCATGAAATAACTGTGGTTACACAAATTAACTGTTGTTTTAATTATTGTACTTTAAGTTCTTTTGCTATCTCTTCCATATTTTGAATACAACTAGGACTTTTTTAAACTTCCATTTTGGAAATGGCCTTATGACATTTCTATCAGAAAGAATTTTTCTTGGTAGAAGTTTGTGTTCCTGATCCTTTCTCATCTCAAAGCATCAGATATCAGATCATTTATAGCTTCTAATATGATTAGTATACTATCTTATATTATTTTGTAAATAGTTACTGAGGTAGCTATTTATTTTCATAGCACTAAAACTGTTACTGAACTAATAAAGCACTCCACAGGTCTGTAAGTATCCTTGCAGCAAGTGTTTTATTAAAACTTCAGACTATTTCATTTTGGCTAACTTTATGCTTTGTTGATTCACTATATAGTACAATTTCTAAAAAAAAAAACTAGCCTTATAAAAGAGGAGATCCTGCCACATGCGACAACATGGATGAACCTTGAGGACATTTTGTTAAGTGAAATAAGCCAGTCACAAGAAAGACAAATACTACTTATATGAAATATCTAAAATAGCCAAATTCATAGAATCAAAGAGTGGAATGGTGGTTGCCAGGGGCTGAGGGGAGGGGCAGTGAGGAGTTACTAACCAACAGGCATAAAATTTCAGTCAAGCATGAGGAAAGCGCTGTAGAGATTTGCTATATAGCAATATACCTATAGTCAATGATAATGTATTATACACTTAAACACTTGTTAAGAGTATAGATCTCATGTTATGTGCTCTGACCATAATTTAAAAACAGAAAACAATTTCAAGCATTTCTGTGTTGGCAAAACAGTTCAGTAAGTTAGAATGTGGCGTGATTTTTCTTTACTATCAACTGTAGTTAGATAGCTTAAACATGAGAAAAAGCTTCTTTCCTCCTTTAGGTGATAAAGGCTGCATCCCAACACAATACATAAACCTACACTTACCAACGAAAATCTTAATGTAAGGAACAAAAAATTTCTGAGACCTAGCTAAAAGTGTTGTAGAAGTAAAAATTTTCCTCTTGTTGACTGAGTCACTGTGGGTCCTGTTTTTGCTTTGTTTCTTGGCATTTTCTACGAGTCTGCCAGTGGGTTATACAGTAACTTTTAAAAGATTTGATTGATTTTTAAAGAAATAAAATTTGTTACAATAAGGGACATTAAACTACAGCTTTATAGAATCGAAAGAGAGAACAAAAATAACCGAGTCAGTCTTTAAGATTCTTATATTTTTGTCACAATCAATCAAAATGGTAACCAATTAAAATCTGAAAAGTTAATAGCAGATATACTCTGTGCTTTCATGAAGATGTCAATGTAATGAGAATGTTGATCGGGATAACACTGGTAGAGTCCTACAGACCAGATGTTGCACTATACTGGACTGTAAACTAAACACATGTGCTGAGTGGTAGCCTTGATTTGATTTTACAGAGTAGTCTCAATATAACAGTGAAAGCGGTAATTTAGAAAATTAAAGGCCCAGGTTAATATGAAATTACATAATGGCAGGAGAAAGAACTTCCTTCCAATATCCTAATGGTACAGTTTCACAGTCCAAATATAGGTAAGTTTCTCTTAAAAACATATGTTCTACTCATAAATATCTCTAACTTTAAAATATCCATTTTATGTTCTGGGGTGTGAGGAAAAGGGCTTCCTAGAACATTGGAAACTCAGACACAGAGGTGCTGCTCAGCGACACCAGAGCGCTGACTCTTTCACCCCTCCCCTGCTCCTGCCCAGCATGGCCTTGCTTGGGGCATGGCCTCCGCATGCCTGCCAAGTTCGGTTTAAAAAGCAAGAGAGGTGGTGGATTCTAAAATTCACTTAAATGGAAGCACATAAATTGTTAGGGTAACAATTTTTCTGGGAGAGTGGTATTAGCCTTATGTAAAAGGAAAAAAAAAAAAAAGAATTTCTCTGGTTCCTCAGCTCTGGCTGCATGATGCCTGTCATGAAAGAAACACTGGAAACTCAGCATTCATTAGGGAGCTGAGGGCCAAGGAAAATCAGCCCCCAGGTGTGCAGGGGCACCACACCCTCTGGGGCAACTCCTGGCTCTAATACAATATTTGTGTCCTTGGTTAAATAAATCAGGCCCTGAGGGTACATGGTTCATGAGTGTGGTTCATGAGTGTGTACGTATATGTATATGTGAGTGGGGGGGGTGTCTTTTTTCTGTCTATACACAATTTATAAGAAATACTACAGAAATAATATATGTTTGAGGATATTTAGACACTAAACACTGAAGTCTTTCACCCATAATTTAAATGAGAGTACTCATTGGAAGCGGAAACATATTTCTATATAAATTTATGAGCAGTCAGTATCAAAAAAAAATCTGTTGATGAGTTCTGGAAAACATTAGCCATAAAACTCCTCGTACTTTGCACAGTAAAGGGACCTAAAGACTCTCAGATATTCCCAGCATAACTGACAGTGATCAATCGAACATTGTACTCAGTAGTGTTATCTTTAGTGATTTCTAGGTCAACTTTAGAGTTATTATTTTTAATAAAGAAAAGAGTATTTCTTTTTATGTATGAAAATCCCTTGGTTGAATTTTTAAATTATGTGATACAGTGGCCACTGGGCATTTTAAAAAACTGAATACTAGAAACTTAGTCACATGTCTGGCCTCTCCAAGTAGCCTGGTTGTTAACATGCGAGCTTTCACTTACCACCAGAGGCTCAGTGCGAGGTCTGGGCAGGCAAGAAAAGGTCTCCCGCAGGAAGGTGGTAATCTCCAGGAGAAGCTGGCAAGCTGCCATCTTCAAGGCAAAGGGGCAACCACATTTAGAGGGGTTCACAGTACCTATGGAACAAAAGAGTTCTTTCATAAGAAGACCAACCAGTAAAACATACAGAGAGGCACAGTTTGATGGACATAGCCACACATATATAAAATCAAATTGCATATGAGAATGTTACCTATATGTGTCCAAAATCAAATTACATGTGAAGATTTTACCTACATTAAATTTAATTGACATATTCTCTCTAGCATAATTTATACATTGCCATACACTTCTCTCTTCCTCCATTTTGTCATTCTATAAAGAATGCTTCAGTATTAAAGTATCAGACAAGCAGAACTAAATTATTTTCCTTAAAACATCATAGAGTAATAAAATGCAGCTCCAACTAAACTAGAAAGGCTTTTAATGAAAACAGAAATGGAAAGCAGTCTTGCAAGATTTCCACACTGTTATTCAGTCAGATTTAGACTATGTACATGGCAAGAAACTGGATTTGGAGTTACAAAAATCATATCAGCTCATTTTATGAGGGATGTTTGTCTTGATGTTCTGAGGGTAGTGAAGTTTCAGCTCTAGTCTAGAGTATTTGTACAACACAGATAAGATATACTTACCTGATCACACAGTTTACACAAGCTAGCCTGTTATATTAAGGCACAGCTACACTGGAAGTGTGCAAATATTTGTTTTGGTCTGAAGAATACTCATCTTTGAATTAGTAAAACATTGTCTTCACCATAGGCCAACCAGTAGATTTTGCTCTAAAGACAGATAATGGCCAAGATGACACCATAGTGACTTTTAAATTTCTTAGGATTAATTCTCGGATATGTGTCATCACAAATAACACAGAAATGTACTGATTACTTAACAGTGTTCAGATCAAAGCCATGTAGAGTTTGTCTCTCATAAAAGAAAGGAAATAGTTACCTATTTTGAATGAATCAAGTCATCAAGCAATCACAGTATCATTGCATGTCAACATTCCTAAAAATATCTCTAAAATGTTTCCTGAATGCCAGGCTTTCTTAATTGAATAGAACACATACTTCATGATTTCAGTTGACAATAGGTAGAAATTATGGTCTTTCTGAAGATAGCTAAGCTATTGTTTCCTCATGAAAACCATTATTTTCTCTCCAGAGTTAATATGTGGCTGAAGATTGCCTCTCATTAAGAATGGAAAAGACAAACTTCTGTAGAATTTCCAGACTTAAAGTTGCTTGCACCATAATTAGCTTTTAAATGCAAGATGAGCTATGTATTGACTTAGCAGTGGAGCTAAATCAGACATATCAATCTTATATTTAATGAAGGCTATATGACTAAAAATTGCCTGGATGTGCAAAACTTTAAAAAACAACAATAATGAACACTAAACATTCAGTGTCAACCTCTGGGTCTGTCCTTTTATTCTTGAGGTTATCATCCAGAGTTCCTATCAGTCCTGTAGACAATGAACTTGGTCTTTGTCCAGGCTATCTCATGGCTATCATAAGAAATATCCTGTTAGAATGCTCAAGGTTTTAGTTCTATGTGGTTTGAACATAAAAGCTAATATACCAGGCATAGCATATTGGTAAATGATACTTAGGTGGTCTAATGGAGATTCAAGTTTGTTTTGGCCTAGGAGGATGCATCCATTTAATGTTGGTTTAGCACCTCCATGTTCTTAGGGTCCTGGAAGATACAGGGTGGTTTGTGGATGCCTTCTGGCTAGATGGGTCTTATGGCAGGCCTTCACTAGCTTCTGTGATGGCTGGATAATCCTCAAGTCTTCCTCTGGAACAGACTCAATTCCATGAGGCATTCTGAGACTGTCTAGACTATCTTTGGGGCCAACTTTCATCACTATGCTGGACTAATGTGAGAATTTGGTGTTTTGTCAACAGTTAAGTCAAGAAGATTTTCTCTGATTAGACAAGATCTCAGAAGGGACAAAATGATTAAAAAATGCAAAAAAAAAAAACCTTGGTATGAAAGTGGAAAAGAAGACCTTAAGGGTTTTCTTTGATTATTATTTAGTTTTGTTCAATATTACACTCTATCCATCCTTTTGCAATTCAAGGATGCAGTAGGTTTGGCACCACCTAATGAAGGACAACACTTCGAATATCACCAGGGAGCTGGGATGTCAAACCGCAAGGGAAGGTCAAGAGGAAGAGATTTCACTATCCTCACCATATAAAGATACTAATTTCATAACCATAACTGGAATTTTATCCTCCATAAAAGGCGGTGGTACACATACACATAAGCTTGTGTGGTGTAGAACACACGTATGCACAAAATGGTGTTGGAGAAGGATATGACAGGAATCTGCCTCTACTCTTCTATGAGGAATCTCAATTCTAAATCTTATAAATAAATACAGTGCAGCAGACATTCACAGTTCTGCAGCCTCTGAGTATTTTAATATTTACATTTCATGTTAAATGCTATAATGTACTTTTTAAAATATTTCAATATTTTAGTCATTTGGAAAGCATTTCTTGTTCAATTGTATTGGGTCTGACTTTATTTCCTAGAGCAATAATAAACCACAAAGCCTGAAAAAAATCTCTTCTGGGACAGTAATTTCCCACAACTGTATTCTCTCAGAGAGGCCTACTACTAATCTTTGTATAATGGCAAGGGTTAGAGACTAAAAAGTAGTGGGTGTTCCACACTGCCTGCAGCTCCTTGACCCTGCCCATCTTCTTCTCTTTCTGTTTCTTGCCTTCTTGTGTGGCTTTATGCACATGCTTTACATCCATGCATGGGGGAAGGGGGAGAAGGTGCAGTGGAGAGACATGGGAAGGTGGTGGTAAGAATGTGAAAGAGGAAAGAGAAATATTAAGTGCTCCTAAAGCAGAGGTTCTTACAAGCAGGGGTTCTTGTAGTAAAGGGAGTCTCCTTACTGTCATCTAAAAAGTCTTCCTCCTCATCCTCCTTTCTCAGTCTCCTCTTGGTCTCCTCATCGTAAATGAGACCCAGCAGGTTGGCTGGGCTCTCACTCTCCCCATGGCACAGTTCATTCAATCGGATGCCAATTGCCTACCACAAGGAGAAAAAAGAATGAAACAGCACAAAGTATACCAGACTCTAAAATGGTCTTTCACATTACAGAGGACATAATCAACCAATTATTTCCACATAAGTGTCTCTGGATGCCATAGTGTTGTTTCCACCATATCTGCCAATATGAAAACCCAGAGATAAAAGAAATTTGCCAGTATCTCCACAGTCATTTAGTCTAAAGACTTGTAGAAACTGGAATGACACCTTTGTATACTTGTACAAATGTTTTTTCCAAAAATATTTCCATTTACTCAAAGGTTATTTATTTTATAGATCTGATACAAAGAAGTATGCAGTTGTTTTTAACGAAGGATTTTGTTGCAGTAAAAAATAAGGAGGCACAGTTCCTCCGAGTGCTTCTGATTATGCTATTTTACGGGAATGCCACCGTCATGCTAATGAGTTTGGAAGTTGGCAAGAATTCTGTTGCTGTGATTTTATTTCTATCTGCCATAATGTATGTACTTATTGGCTTCTTTTATAGACTTCGTTCCTCCTTCCATTATTCTCTATGAGTTAGTAAGAAATACTTTTCTTTTGGTAGAGCACCCAACAATGACATTAGAAATATGACTTTTAATAACTCAGCACATGGACAATATTGGCTTTTACATGGTATTCTTAGAACCAACATCCTTGTTTTTCTGAATCATCATTCACTACTTTCTGATTTTCCAAAAGGAATTTTCCACAAGAAGAGACACAAAACATTACCTCTATCTAATTCCTCTTACATGCCAACCATCTACTATATGCAACAATGAAAGAGACACAAATTTAGGGAGGAGAATCATGGAAAAAGTTAAACTCATCACTGAACTTAGGGTTTGACAGTTTGGTTACTCTGTGCTTTAGTAAGAACAAAATTCCAGCTAGCCTTTTTCTTTCTTCCTGGATCATACTTTGCAAATATTTGGAAAAATTACTAAATTCTGGGCATGTAAGAAAATATATTCACACTGGAAACCAACATACAAAGATATGATCAGAACTCTTTAAATAAAAAGACATTTTTGAATGTCTTAGATATCTGGAAACAAAGAGGTCTCATTAAAACCTGGAATTAAGAGAGGAGCTAAAATCCAGGAAGCAAAAATCATGCTGATGAGAAAGCAGTGTGGAAAGATAACGCCGGATCTGAAAATTTTAGCTGCTAACTTGAGAAGTTTTAAGCAAACGAAACAAAACATAAAAACAAAACCACCACCACAACACAAAGCTGATCCTGATGCTACTATTTTGGAGACTTCTCCAAAGGAGGAGACATACAATTTTGATCCTGGAATGGAGATCACAAACCAGATAGTGAACTTAAAGAAAAAAAAGTTTCTACATTGATCCTTCCAGGATGTTGTAACTAAGCAATTTAAGTTAAACCCACAGTTTATAAAGTTTGAAGAGTTGCTCAAAAATGATTTTGTCTAGTCTAATAATAAACGTCTAAGTAGTAATTTAGATCTCTATGTCTCATCCAAGGCTAGAAAAATGCCTTAGGGCTATGCTAATTCTTTTCCCTCATTCATCAAATATTTACTAAGTGAGGTAATTTGTTAGGTATTAAATAAAACACATAGTTGAATAAGTTGTTACAGTAGTGCACTAGTACCTTTTTTCAACGTGCCCTGGTAGATTGTAAACCCATGTACAAAAAGATCAGTGTCTGGCAAATAGGAAGGTTAGGGAGGTTGGGAGACTTGCTCAAGGTTGCTCAGCAGATGGTGAACTGTGTTCAAACACAGTGTCTGACTACCTATGCCTGTGTTCTTTCCTTTGAAGAGCTTACGGTCTATTGAGGAGGTAATAACAGACCAAAACAACTTGTTCAGTGGCAAAAGAGACTGAAAGCAGCTTATTCGTTCAGAAGATAGAGAGATTAAATTCAGTTCAGAGAATCAAAATGTCTCAAAGTCTGCACACTTTGAGGAATTAATGTTTTGGCTGATGGAGAATGAGGAGAGTAGATACTGAGATGGAGGGTCCCAAAAGATCCATGTTCATGGAAATGCACCAGATGTTCAGAGGCTGACAAGGAGGCCACTTGGTTGGAACACAATTTTGTGACAGAAAATGACGTGCAGGAAATCTAGAAAGGTAGGTTGGGAGGACCTTCCAGTTCCTGAGGTTGAACTTCACTTTGCTTTCTTAAGAAGGAGGAAAAGTAGTTTTTGAGTGGGGGGAGTAACCTGATAACTCATTCGAGGGACATCATGCTAGCTGCCCAGGAATGCAGAGAAAAGCATGTACTCTGCTTTCAAAAATTAATGTCATAACCTATTATTATTGAACACATATTAGGCGCAAAGGATTTAGATAAATATTCTTTAGGTACATTAGCTCATTTGACTTCATCATCCATAACTTTGGAATGGTTTGAGCAAAGGTCATAGAGAGGGTAGTGACTCCAGACTAAGCAATTCGGGGTTTATCCTAAGGAAAAAGGAGGGCCACTGAAGCATTGTGAGTGGGTAATAAACACAATCTAATTAGCATTTTAGCCTAATAACTCTGACAGCAGTTTGGAGAATGAGCTAGAGAGGGCAAGTCTGGAGGCTGGGAGATCGGTATGAATGTTTCGTTTTGAGTGGGCCGTGCCATAGGAACATACTTTCACTGACAGTGTGTAGGATGGATTAGATGAGGGGAGTTTATGGGGAGGAGACCAAATAGGAAAATACTTTAATCATCCAGATAAGAAGTAATGAAGATCTGACCTAATGGGCTTGCCTCAGTGATATAAAACCAATAGGGGAAGGAGGTTTGGAATGTGCTCCAAAGGTTGTCATCTGAGATGATGGTGATGTCATTAATAAGAATAGAAAGCTCAGGAGGGCTGCAGGTGGGGTGTGTTTATATGAGAAGAAGGGTTTTATTTCAGTCAGGTTGAGTTCTAGGATAGTATTAATAAGTTAAAGGCTCCAAAGTGCAGTTGCCAATGCAGGCCTGGGATCTGAACAGTGCTATGGATACAGAAGTCCGTGCTGCGCCATGCAGGTAACAGCAGAAAGCACAGGAACAGATGTAACCCTGGGGTGAATTATAAAGGAGGGAGTTACATGAGGTTCTGGGGAATGTCTACATTTATGAGGCAGGACGAGGCAGAGGACCAGGGAAGGAGAGAGAGGACTGGGCACAGAGATGCAAAAAGACTCCAGAGGATAATGGTTGTGGAAGACAAAAAAGAAGAGAAAGGTGTGGGCAGTCAGCAGTGTCAAATGCTGCACGAAAGTGAGAGGACATTTGTCCTGGAAACATCTGTTTGGGAAGTCCTTCAGTCACAATCTCCTTACAAATCTGAAATCCTCTAATGCTTAGCACTTCCTCCTTCTTGTGGGAAACCAATGGGCTTATAAACTGTGGCTGTCATTTCAGAGAGGCCTCTTAATAAAACCCTCCTTAAATGGGACAGATAATAAAAGGGGGTTGAAACATCACATCTCTCCACATTAAAGAATTTGGCCAGTTGTATGCAAAACCTACTTCTGCCCTCAAACCCACAAAAATTGGTTTTTTAAAAAGACTTTCTAGACTTTTCATGTAACCTTACATTAGACTTTTAGAAAATACTAAAGTTTTTTTGTTTTTTTTTTTACTAAAACTAGTTTAAAATGAATTTTACATTACTTTTTTTAGACTTTCTATTTAGAAAATAAAAAGGAAAAGGATAAAGAAAGGTATCTTGTCAGCAGAGGACTGAAAGCAGTGTGTTTTATACCATAAAGTTTTTAAATATTGTTTTAGATAGAAAACAAAGAGATTATCCTGAAGAGATAATAAAGTTGAAAACCCTGATGACTGGCCTAATTATCTATCACAGTGACCCCAAATCTCATTGCTTATTTAAAAGATCCCAAATTAGGTCTATCTCAGGAAAGGGAGTTATCCCCGATGTCACTAAGGTTCTGATATGTATCTGTGGGAGGACAGGAGATCAGAGGAGAGTGTATTCAGAATTCCAACAGACTGGACTGCACTGAGCTCCAAGGCCACTTGCTTGGGAGACTTCTGTGGTTCTGGAGGCTGTGGATTGGGAGGGCGCCGTGAAGAGCAGCTTTGTCATTTTCCAATGGAAGCTGCCTCCATATGGACTCTCTCAGTCTAAAGCAGACTAAAATAGTTGTACTTGTCGTTACATAAAGTTAATAAAATGAGCAGAAATATGAGAATTGGAATAACATCAGTGTAAACAGAGTACAGAGATTATCAATTGAAGATTTTAAAATGGTGGTCTACAAATTGTTGGAGTTAAAGATAATATTAGCCATTGATGGTACATTGTTATTCTTATTAAATTAAATTGATTTTTATTAAATTGGTATGTTTACGTTCCAGACTACAAATGAGATTGGCATTCTATGATAGTTGTCTTTTTTCTTCAAGTCACATGAAGGTCTGTGGGCACCTTTCCCGGAGTGATAAATTATGAATATACAAACATGTTTATAATTTATCAATTCCTGCAAATCGCCAAAAGCATTCTCATGTGTTATTTAATATTATTAATAAGGAAGAGAAGAAGCTGTCTAGCAAAACCTCTCCAAATAAAGTAACATGAGTATGAGTTATTCATAATTGCCTACCTTTTTTGTCTGAGGAGAAATAATTAAAGGGGTCAAAACATCCATCCCCTTAAAAGAACTGAACAATTGAATCAGAACACTTTACATCTTCAACTGCCCTGAGAGAGGGTGTGTTCAAAACTACCTAGTCTTCTGTAGAAAATAGGAATACATTCATCAGCAGAGAGCTGAGTTACTTTAATATGGCTTGGATAGAAAATAAAGGTGGTTGGGGATGAGGACAACCCTTCACCTGCTCTCTGTTCCCTGGTGATACAAATCTTTCATCTGATTATTTTAAGAGAAGTAAATTTGGTCTCTGCTAGAAAAGAGTCATCCCAGATTTTAGCAAGGTCACAAAATATTAACAGCATTCATGAAATGAGGTAGTTTGAAAAAATACTCACTATTTTAATAAAAATACTAAATTTGAAAGAGATAAACTGAGTTTCGCAAGTATGTTTACTTATCAGGAAAGCCTGAGCAGTAACTTGATTACTTATATTGTAACTAGAGGGGCAACCAGGTTTCTGACATTCAGGATGAGTGAGGGGATGAGGGGCTCCTGCACAACTAGTTGGAAAAAGAGCATAGAAACAAAAAATATGCCTCTGACTATCTTCCCTATCTTTCCCATGGCCTTGCTTTCACATTTCTGCCTCTAATATCTTGCTATCGTCTCTCAACCATAATATAAACAAATGCATTACAAATTATTTAAAAGGTACCACCTTTGAAGAATATGCTTATGGGCAGCCACACTTCACTCTCCACCTCCCCCACCCAGCTGTGTTTCTTCTTCCAACTTTGTGTTTTGTCCACTGTGACATATGCTTCTAAGATTTCTTATTGGCACAACTACTCACGAAGCAAATTTAGGGGAAAATTCATATTTCATAGGAAACCATATTTTATGGGAGCTCTGTACATAGGCCAAGGAAAACCTTCAAAGAGGGAAAATAAAATGTCCCCTTCACACAAAGTAACAGTAAGGCCTTAGAGCAATAATTAACCACATTATTTTGAACATCCAGGGACAGACTGCAACACTGGTGACAAGTTTTCTCCTCCCTCTGCCCCCACTGTGATAATTTTAAACTGCTTATAGCAAAACAAATAGTAATCCTTACATTAGTAACCTATTCAGCTGCTTATTCTACAACTGAGTAAATGGAGATGTAAAGAATTTATGCAACATGCACAAGTCACATTATCAGTGAAAAAAAAAACAAGTTCAGAATTTGGGTTCACTATTTTGGTTTCTAGCCTGGTAAATTACCCTCTCTAATTTATGAATCTTATTAATAAAATAATGCACAATGGAGTGATGACAGGCTTTTGATGATGGATTTTCATTCCTTCTGCTCCTACGATTACTTGTGAATCTATGTATCTCAGGATGTCCATTTCACTTACACTGCTTGCCTTGTATAAACTCTCATGCTTAATGCTATTAAATCCAAACATAATTAAATGCAAGATAAGCACAGTGGAATCACACAATAACTTGGCTCACTGACTTTAAAAAATGGATATCACGTGGAAGAAAACATGTCTTCTTACACATATAAGAAGCCTGAAAAGGGCAGTGCTAAGTTCTGATCAGCAACATTAGCATTAAGAAGGTGTTGTGCTCGATATTTATGAAACATATCTTATATGTTTTTTTTACATAAGATGTCTTTCTAAGAAAGAAAACCCAAAGGACAGCAATTAAATAGGGAATTATTAATACACTCTTGTAGACAGACTGCACACACACAATACAATTTATGCCTTTTGAATCACTTCGGCATTTCACAAAAGAGATCTAGGTAAAACTGGAGGAAGAATATCCTTAGTCGGCACATTAGTAGATATACTCAACTGAATTATTAAGAGAAATTATAACAAACTCCGGGTAATCTTTAAGGAAAGAGGAATATATGAAACTCTCTTTATGTGTATTTGGGTTTGGCTCTGTCCAAAATTGGCATGAAAAATCTCAGTCCTCTTGAATTTCTTTTTATTCCTTACATTTTTCCCCCCGTGGTAAAGAAGTTGTAATTATAAGGGCCCATTTTATTAGAGTTCCTGAAAAAGTTTCATTCGTTCAGTTTTTAATTTATTCACACACATATATATGTGTGTGCATGTGTGTGTGTGTGTGTGTGTGTGTGTGTGTGTGTGTAATTTCTAAAGGCTTTCAGGCAACTTACAGGAGGCACATCAACAAAAGAGAAAATTCCACTAAGAAATTGGAAAAAAATCATGTCTTGGAAAATATAAATTAGAATAGAAAGCCAAAACAAAGTCGTGAGTATTTAACAATTATAACCATGACTTTCACAAAGATGATTCCTGATGAATACAGCAATTAAAAGCAAAGTTTTGGAATCCAACCTGGGAAACGGAATATTGGTTCCTTGATTTACTACAAACGTAAACTTTGGCAAGTTGCTTGACCTGTATAATCTTCAGTTTTTTTAACTGTAAAAGAGAGATAGTAATGTCTCTCATAGATTTATTGGGAAGATTAAATGAGTTATTTTCCCCCCAAAGTATTTCCTTTAGTGCCTGGTACATAACAGACAATAAATTGTCTTCCAAATAAACACGATCGATCAAAAGACTTCTCCACTTCACTCAAGCACCCTCATTTTTATAGGAGAAAATCGAAAGCTCACGTCTCCCCATTGGTAGAAGAGCTTGGCTGCGTTCCACTGCAGCTTCTGGTTCCGCTTGTTGCCCACGATGGGAGACCGGCCCCTGGAAAGGCCTTTCTTGGTAATGTTCACGTGATGCCCTTTCATCCACTCTGGCCAGTTGCCACGGTTGCAGCGGTGAACAAAACGGGCACATTCCAGGAACAAGGCTGCTCTGGCCACCACGGGGGCTTCCTGAGTAGGGATGTTGAGGGAGAGAACAATGTAGGATTAATGAACGATAACTTTAAATTGGCCTTAAAGGAAATTGCTCTGTACTTTTAGTTTATTTTAATCTCCATATTTTGATTTTGTTTGATCAGATTTCCCAGAGTGGTGTCAGTATGGCTGACATAGTAGTGGAAAATCTGGAAAACAAAACCAGAGAGAAAAATTTGGATATTGAAGAGTTAGATATTTTAAGCAGGTTTCTGTGTAGTATTTGCCTTCTTCTCAGGAATCTCAAGTAATTACATTCCTCTTTCTTTGTATATTTAAGGCAGCTGGGATTTGAGTGCAAGAGTGAAAGAGATTTTAGTAAGGTTTTAAATATGAAACTTTTTTTGACCCTAAAATTTTAATATGAATCAAACAAATATTCAATTTTTATAAGTAGCCCTATTTTAACCAAGGATGCCTACAGTGATTTATACCAACAATAATCTGTTACCTATGATCATAGGAGGTACCAAGGAAGTATAATTGTGTCTTCACATTTTGGGTGTTAAGAAAAGGAAGTCCTTACTAGATTTTGGTGAGTTAGTCTTTTTTTTTTCCTTTCTATTTTGTCATGAATAACAGACTAGATTGTGCTTAAATAGGCATGGTTTCAATTTAAAATGTTTGACAAAGAAAAGATTCTCTAATTAATAAATGAAAAACAGAGCATATATTCAGAAAAATATGGCTCCATCTTGTCAAGTCAAGACATACTTGAAAAAATGAAAGAAAATACAGACTTTAGTTAATATCCAGAAGCTGGTAAGAATCAGAAACTTTACTGAAATCTTTAAAAGCTAAAAAAAAAAAGTTAAGGGAAGAAAGGATGTGAAGTTTCTCACAGAAGGTCAATAGGTCATAAGAAAAATATATATCAACTATTAATGTGCATTTTGACTTGCGTTAGATTTTAAAAAATACATCACGATATTATCCAACATCTTAGGATTACCTAATAAACACAGGTCACTCAGTAACCACAGACTTTCACTGAAACAATTTTCATCATTTTCAGCAATAGTATTCTTAACAATGCATTGAACCATAATGTTAAATATAGGGGTTAATACAGAGTATCAATTGTGTGCCAGCTAACTTTTATGAATTATAATGCAGAAGAACCATGTGTTCTAGAAATAATATCCTCATTTTAAGATTTAAAAAATGGGATATAATTTGTTCACTATCATACAGCTGGAAAGGGGTAGATACAGGATTCAACCCAGGTCTACTGATGCACAGGCCTCGGCTAGTTCTTCTTTAGTATTTATATTTGTCTTAATTTATACTCATATAAATCTCATTAAAAGATAATTTGTAGAATGCAAGTAAAAATTAACTACTTATTAATAAAAGTGGGATATTAGTCCCATGTAATATTATTTTCTAAAATATATAAGCACACCATTTTCCCATTTAAAATCTATTACAGTTTCCATCCATCTCATCATATAATGAATAAACATATACAACCTTTGTGATTTGGCTCATCTCCCTTTCTATCCCCATCTCAAGTGCTCTGATCCAATTACATTAAACTAGTTGCAGTTTCCCAAATATGACATCTTATACCTTGCCATATGCCATTCCCTTGACTTGCAGAGTCTTTAAATTCCTTTTCCATCCAGAAAATTCCCACTTTTGAGATTCAGTTTAGTTACTTCCTCTGAGAAGTCTTCCTAAATTTCTTCCCTGTACAAGCACCATTGGCCACTTCCTATTTTTGAGTACCACAGTATCTCAAATACACTGGATGATTCAAGTAAATTAGCCCCTTGAGCATTTCCTCATCACCTATGTCTGAAATGCAGCCCTCAAAAATTCCAATAAGTGTCCATCAATACATGAGTGGATTAATAAAATGTGGTATATGTATACC